GAATTTCTTCATCTCTTTCATTTTTTGTATCAAATATTTCTAACAAAGGTAGAGTTATTGTAAATAAATTTATCCATATATTCTCTTCCATCATCTTTGAAAGAACTTGAGATGATGTATACAAGCAAAAAGAAAGCTTTAAGAAAACCTGTGGAAAAGGAACATGCTCTTCCTTACTAAAATGATTTTCATAGAATTTATCTTGGTACCAATTTTGCATTGTTGGTGTTAGTTATCCCTATGAAAAACACAAAAAATGAAAACGTGAACGCTTGAACCCTTCTTTTTTTCTTGAACAAGGCAATTATTTACATTGAACTCGAATATGTATAAGTCTATGGTGTTTGATAAAAGTAGCATTTTCTAAAGTTATGCTCCTTTCAAAACAGTATGACTAAGATACTTACTGTTTATTAACTAAACATAAATAAAGATAAACTAAAGTTAGAATGCAACAAAATTAAATTAAATTAGAGTTTTTGTAATTCTGCTCAAGGGATATAGATTAAGAATTTTGAAAAAATAAATATTGACATTTAATTTATCATTCATGTAGTTAAAATTATCCATGGAATAATAACTCTGAAATTATTGTCAGTTTTTACTTTTTTTCTATATAAATTTATGCCAAAAAGGTGCCTTTAATTGTAGAAAAACCCATTAAATTAAATCAGTTTAAATTGCTAGAGTTCTCTCCATCTTCTTATCTTAAAAATAAATAATAATTCATTTGCAATATTGATGTCATAGTTTCAACCAAAAAACTAAAGTTGCAGTAAAGAAAATGCTCATAACTAAATAAATATCTTACCAGCTAGAATAGACACACCTCATTAACATTTAATAAATAATTAACAGCATTGCCGTTGTTGTTTGTACCACAAATTAGCTAAATCACATCACTAAATATAAGAAAATACTTATAGATGCATTGTTTTTGATACATCTAATAATGGGTTATAAACTAAGAGATAACCCTCCCTCTCTCAATCTTGACCCATGTCTTGGATTTTGAACTTGAGACCTCCAAAATGAAAGCTAAAGATTGAGACATCCTCAGCTAACCTTACAAAAACATACACAAGGTGGAATATTAGTTTGACAAACCTATCCAATATCATTTCTTCCCAAGTCAATAAGTAATGTGTGTTTTGCGTATATGTTTTGTCTCAATGAGTAACTTAGTTTTCTATCGTGTCATCTTCATATATATCTTGTCTTCCATCTCATTACCATTCCAACCAATGGTTTATTTACAATCTTGTTTTCTTCTTATCGACTTTAAACCTTGGTTGTCAACTTGATGATGATTCATATATTAAATTACCTTCCTCACTCGTGTAAGGATTTCTGAACTTGAAGCAACTAGAATACATCCTCTAGCATGAGAAAGAACAAAGAACATAAATTATCAATAAACAAATGGAGTTGTTGATAACTAACAAAGATCACTTCTCTTTGTAAGTACTATTACGACAATAAGGAAAAACATACTTGCAAGTAAAACCATGTATGGACGTGGATTAGCTACTCTCAATGATCTATATACTTCAAAAGGGTCATCAAATGAATGTGGATTCTATATGATCTCGAAGATATCC